GCTAAACAAGCGATTTGGCTTCAAGAACTCTTTGCTGAAATTACTGGTACTGCTTGTGAGAAGGTGACGATAAGAGTTGACAACAAATCAGCAATTGCACTCACAAAGAATCCAGTTTTCCATGGCCGTAGTAAACATATTCATCGAAGATATCATTTTATACGAGAGTGTGTTGAGAATGGCCAAGTAGAGGTCATACATGTTCCGGGAGTTGAGCAAAGGGCTGACATCTTGACAAAAGCTCTTGACAAGAACAAGTTTAAAGAAATGAGAAGTCACATTGGAGTTCATAGCTTGTCAAGGAAGGATTTCAAGCTTAAGGGGGAGATTGTTGGGATAAGCTTGAAGAAGAAGACTTAGGAGACAAGTTATTTAATTCCTAGTTGAGTTATGACTTAGGAATTGGATTGTGTTTAGGAGTTATCTAGATACAATTCCTATTAGAATAATGTGTTATCTCCTCTCTATATATATGAGTTATCAAAGTTGTGGTAACCTTAAGAGATTAGAGAGAGATTAAGAGTTTTAGAAGCTTAAGTTTTGAGTTATTTTCTTAAGCAAATAAAGAGAGTTATTCTTTAAATTCTTGAATTGATAATCTTTCTCTATTCTAGAATGAAAAGGGTAGGAAGTTTACACTTGAAGCCAATGGATTTAGGATCATCGGTTTTCATGGATATGCAGAGAAGAATCTCATTCTCAACTCTCTTGGAGTATATTTCACAACGCAAACTCCGAACAAATTAAAATGCCAAGGTCTAACTGAAGGTATACTTTGGGACGATGGGTCTAATAATGACGGCATAAGAAAGGTCTACGTCGATGATACAGGGGACTGGAAGATAAGATGTATCAGGCTAGCGTACGTTAACAACGGCAAAGTGGAAAAGACTCATCGTCGGTATAATGTCGATAACGAAAAAGAGGTCACAATACAATACTGCCTTTTAATTAAATCTCGCCTAAATATAAATGAATATCCTTATACCACATAGATAAATATTGTTTTTATACCACATAGATAAATATTGTTTTCATTGCAGTTTGTGCTCGACTATCCAAATGAGCTGATCACATCTGTGGAAGGGACTATGAGTACTAATTCCGATACCGATATTCGGTCCTTGAGACTGAAAACATCGAAAGGTAGAACCATTTCGTTTGGCAGTAAGTCTGATGATGTTACCAAATTTGTACTGGAGAAAAAAGGTAATGCTATTGTTGGCTTCTATGGATGGACTTCATTTTATAACCTTAAAGCTATTGGAGCATATTATCGTCCATTTCCTACTCCTCCTGATGAAAATATACTAGAAGCAAAGGGTGGAGATGGAGGAACTTCTTGGGACGATGGTGGTAGTTTCCAAGGTGTTCGAAGGATATACATTGGACTTAGCCAGAACGGTGTTTCCTTCATCAAGTTTATGTACTACAAAAACGACCAACTTCTCTTCGGAGAGGATCATGGGAACAAGACCAAAATTGGAGTCCAAGAGGTCAGTGATTCAATCTCCCTAGTTCAGTTCAGATCTATGGTTGATTTTTTACTACTCTTAACTCTTCATTTATTTCTATTGTTTCAGTTTGAGCTGAATTTTCCAAGTGAATATATCACAACAGTGGAGGGTACTTATGATACTAAATCCGGAGTTATTACCATGCTTAGGTTCAAGACCAATAAACAAACCTCTCCAGCTTTTGGACTCGTTACAACATCAGGCTTCATACTCCAAAAGGCCGATCACAAGATCGTCGGTTTCCATGGAAAATCCAGCAACATGCTTCATCAAATCGGAGTCCACCTGAGTTTGATCATCTGATATCACTATATGTTGTTTAAGAATCAATCCCATGTAATAAGACAAGTTTTTATTTCTCCTAAGAATAAGTCACGGTCATCTCAACATGTGATGATGATTGATCTCTCCCAAGCTTCAAATCAGATTCTCGTTACACTTATTATATGTTTGGTTCACAAATTTACAAACTTTGAGCTATAATCTATACACAGATATATGTAGCTTTAGGCAATGCGTGTTACAGAATAAGTAGTTAGTGTGTTTCTACTTACTTTTAGAAATAGAAGGACACAGATTTCTTATGCAGTTTCTTTGTGGGACGAGATTTCGTCAGGGCCTCCGCGAATTTCATTAGCTCTCTCTTCCCGTTTTGGCCTGATTCCAAACAGTGTTCTTCTTCATAGATGGAAGAATCTGCTGCTTCGCTCTTGCGTCGCAGCATCTTGATGTGATTCTTGAAGTCCTCTTCCTCGTCTTTTCCATGCATTAGCATTTGGAAGTCCATCGAATGCGTTGTTCTAAGCTGCCTAGGAGTCGAATGAACACCTGTGCTTGAGCTGCTCGGTTCTGAAGAACCAGCTCTCTTCTTACGGTCTGGAGTATCTTTACCGTGTAAGATCTTCATCAACTTATGCATAAGCTTCTTCTTCCCTGACTTTTTTGTTTTCGTCGCAAACAAAGTGTCAACAGAAGAATCATCTAAAAACATAGAGTCAGTGATCATTGATGACTCTTCCTGGGAAGATGACCATCGATCATAATCAGTATTATCTTCCTCATGCCCTTCGCTATGTGCGTACTCGAGGATCAGCTGCTTAGCTTTTTCTTCTGAAGTAGGACTTAGAGTGGTACTAAGATCCCTAGCAACTGTTTTACCTGCCGGAGGCTGGTAAGTCCTTAGCTCGTATCTCAAGCAAGCATTTATCCATCTGAGATAAACGAGTTCCTCGAGGTCAGTGCATCGATCCCCTTGAAGCTGCTCAACTTCCTTTTTCAGCTCTTCATTTTCACTCCTTAAACGGTTACCATCTTCTCGTAATGTCTCAATCTACAAACAAAAGAAAGTTTCAGAAATATGATCAAATGCAAGAATTTGAGGATGTAATTTCGAAACATACCTCTTCCGGGTCCTCAAGCTTTGAATTTGCTATGATTTGAACAGACTCCAGCTTCTCAGCCAGTACGAAATTTTCTAACTGTAATTTCAAGTTGGAATCCGTAAGCTTGTTGATCTCACCTTCCAAATCCCTTAACCTCTGCATCATCTTATCCGCTTTCGGATCAGGTAAAATAGCTTTGATCTCTTCTTCTTGCAGCCTCATCACTCGTTCCTTAAGTGACACAATCTGCTCTACGTGTTGTTGGGTATTGATGTTCAGTTTCTTCTTAAGCACATGTACCTCAGACTTAGCCTTATCCAGCTCCAACACAACTTTTAAATGATCAGAACATTGAGCCTTAAGCTTCTCGTTCTCAGCTTGCAACGACTTGATCTTGAGATTGAATACTTTAGTCTCCATTTGGTTTAGTTTCAATCTACTTCTCAGTTCCATTGCAATCTTTTGCTGCTCCTTGAGGCTGTAGTATTCTAACAACTTGTCCTCAAGACACCTCTCTCTCTCACGAAGCGCTCTCACCGTGTTTCTCAACCGCTTAATCTCATTCTCATGATCAGCTTCCTCTTCGCTCGGAAATGCTAATGGAACAGTTATATCCGACCTCGGCGTTTCACAGTCATCAGAGACCAACAAATCTAACTTTTTCACTTCCTCTTCAAACTCCGGTAAAAGAAACACATCATTTTTATCAACATCACATCCCTTTCGTGGCGAAAAACCGATTAAATTCTCTTCATTACTCTTCTTAGAGTCAACATCTCCTCTCTACCGAGGAAGAAAAAAACAGAATCAGATCAAAATTTTAGTAACAGCAAACATTATTGACCACAACTAATGTAACTAAACAAAACAGAGGCCAGATGAACAATCTACAGATTATAAATCACAAGGCCAAAAATAGCAACTTCTACCACAAACTATACAATATGAGATTGAGAAATTATATATACTTACATCATTGGATCTGTTGGAACAGTCTCTGTATCCATTATCTGAAAATACAACAAAACCCTCTTTACGAATCAGACTCATTGACTGCACAAATCAATCAAATGGTATAAACAGAAAAGCAATAAGACAGAAACACAAACCGGAAGATTGAGGTGGAAGAGGAGGCAGAGTGGGTCCGATTCTTTTTGTATTCTTTCTAAATCGAGAAAAGAGAAATCCAGCAAAAGATACAGCGAGAGCTGCTCCTAATTGAAGCACAAACAAGTTTATATCTCTTTTGTTTTTTGTAAGGATCATGACTACCAACTAAAACCCACCCCCACAAAATTAACAATTAGAACAAGGACTAGATCATCTCTCTTCTTCTTCCTCTGCCTCCATCTGCAAAAAGTACAGTTTTTTAATCAAAAAGACAAAACTTTTGATGATGGGATCACAGAACCCACCAAGGATCAACAGTTATCTACTAATCTACGCATGAAAGAAACTAAAGTTTTGATTTTTTTTTTGTTCTCTTTCTAAATTAGACAAAGTTTCGATTTTTCTTTTCCCTTTCCTTAGGGATTGATCTACCTCTGAAAAAAAAAAAAAAAAACACAACTCTGGGAAGAACCCAACCAAAAAAAATCGAATCTTTGTCTTATTTGGGAAGAGAGAACTTAAGTCAAAACACAAAAGTGATCGAAGTGAACAACAAAGACAAGTAAAAACATACTATTAAATTCAAGGAGACTCACCAGAAACGCCATCTGACACGAGATTCTTCCTCAGGATTTGTGTTTATTATCTCTCGAGGTAAGTTTGGCTAGCAGATACGAAAGTTGTAGTGGGGATTTGAAGAGAAAGAGAGAAGCAAAAAAAAGGTTATGATTCTTGTTGAGTGGGTGGGTGGGTGTATATCGTGGTCCGATGATTAAACACGGAATGTGATGTTTCTATACAAATGGAGAAGCAGAGATTTTGATATATTGATTTTGACGGCGAGAATTTTGATGACTTGGAGAAATATTGAACAGAGGATATGATGAAGTCGATCACGAAACTAAACATCGCCAGATGCATATTTGGGTATCATTAATGATTTTTTAATTAAATTTTCATATAGACTGGCTCTTTATTGTGTTTGTGTGTGTGACTCAGTTTTGTATCGCTGTGTGCTTTTTATTACTATTAAATTTGATATTTTAATACTACTACTAACTAAAGAATAAAGATGCATGTCAGTGTCATTAACTGGAAAATCGGTCAATTCATACTTACCCTAATAGCGAGTGTTCAATTCATACCTAACATTTGTCTATGTGCAAATACATACTTAACCTTTTAACATATTTAAATTTCATACTTAAAATTATTAAATTGTATGAAGTCATTCATATTGTTGACATGGATGTCACGTTTTTGATGATGTTGATGACGTGGTAGCCACATCCACGATAATATGGTTGCCACGTCATCATCTTTCAAAAAAAAAATCTCTCATTCTCCATTAATATTATCCAATAAAATTGTGATTTTTATGTAAAGATTTAAAATCTTGTTTTCAAAATTTAGAACCATTATTTCAACCGTATCTAATTTTTAAAAGATTATAAATCCAAAACTCACAATTGGTCTTCAAAAAAATTCTCAAGCCACTTTTAGTAGAGAACATAAACCTTAAAATAACCTTATATAAATATTAGCTGAAAGACGGTTTTAAGTGGAAGACAAAAATATAAATATTTAATTACATGTATTGCCATTGGAATAATTGTATTTTAAAAAACAAAATACAATTTCTCATTAATGGTAATATTGTATTTGTATCTTAACTTATATCTATGTTTTCAAAAATTAATATATAAGGTTGTATAATTTATGTTTTTACTCAAAGCGACTTGAAGACTTTTAGAAGAGGAATTACAAATTTTTAGTTTATAACCTTGAAAATAAGTTTTAAAATCTTTAGAAAAAGATCAAAAGTGATACTTGTTATTGATAATATTAATAGAAAAGAATATAAAAAAGAAAAAAAATATTTTTATTTTTGTTTTAAAGTATGATGACGTGGCAATGACGTCATCAAAGATGTGGCACCCACATCATCAATGTCATCAGTGACATGGCATCCATGTCAGCAGTCGGGAAAATGGATGTATGATTTTCTACGATTTGCAAAGTTCGGGTATGGAATTTGAATTTTTTTAAACATTAGGTATGTATTGGTACATTGACAAATGTTAAGTATAAATTGAACATTTAAGTTTATGTTGGGTATGATATAACCAATTATCCGTCATTAACTCGTGTGACATGTTCAGTAGTCAACAAAAACTATTAGAACAGAACAAGAACAATTTAGATTGATGACCCAAGTCCATGCTTTGGCCCAAAACAAATTTAGCCCATGTCGAAATATATGAGCCTTTCTGATTTTTAACTCCACGTTAATATTGAAGACACAACTACAAAGTACAAAGTACAAAGTACAAAATCCTCATTATAGAAGAAGTTTCAAAAATATATATACTCTGATACTCACTTTCTTGTTTGGCACATAATGCGGGTATTAACCTAATTTCCGATGATACGGCGGAATCTGAGAGTCGTAGAAGAACAAGTTACTCGTGAAAGGAGATAGATCGTGTATGTGGGATCCCTCGTCTTACCCTAGTTCGAAGCGGTGAAAGCATCGTACGCACGGACGGACCGACCGCCCACTAGACTGACTTATGTATGATAGGTCTTGTAATTTTGACCATATATCCAACAGCATTTGGGGTTATATTTCAAGGTTTACTTATTTAGGAAAAACATGTTCCCATGAGAAAGTGTATATATTGACTACACGTTCTTTAAAGATAATTAAGATTATGATCCCGTAATTAGTAAGGCCAATCTCCTCTCCTTGCCCATCATATAATATTGGCAAGTGTTATACTAATATAATGGCTCCACTTTACGGTGAACTTAGGCCAAAGTAGGGATCAAGTATGAATACAAGGGGAGTGAATATCCAGCAACGTTTTTTTTAAGAAATAATACATGTATATACTTGAAATGGTGAATTAAAACTTGAGAAATGAGAAACATAATTCTATAATGCCACTAGTTATAGGTATACTATGTGAAAGACCCAGAACTGTGTGTATAAATAAGTATCCTCCCGCATCCCAGCTTCTTCATCAGTCACCACACAGCACAACGATCATGTTTATCGTCTATATATTTCTTGTTCTCTCCTCAGCCATTATAGGTAACTAAGCTCTTCTTATCAACGTTATTTTATTTATGCCATATTAATGTTTTAATACACAATTCCTTCATTAATTCAATCTTTATGTTAAAGATTCAAATGGGTTTGCAATGGCCCAAAAGTTAGATGCACTTGGTGGGAAGGGAGGCAAGCAGTGGGACGATGGAGCAGACCATGACAATGTAGCAAAAGTTTACATACGAGGTGGTCTTGAAGGCATACAATACATCAGATTTGATTATGTCAAAGATGGACAAACTATAAATGGATCTATCCATGGTGTTTCGAGTAGCGGTTTCACAGAGACGGTATGATTTATATATAAATTTTATCTCCAGTGACCAATGAAACTCAAACTTGAATCATAGTATGCGTGGTGGATCCCCATATCACATATTTAGGTTATTGTATAATGTCTACAAAATAATGTAATCACCATATTTGTTTGCAGTTTGAGATTGATTATCTAAACAGTGAATATATAGTATCCGTTGATGGCTACTATGACAAATCCGGTGTGATGCAAGCACTTGAATTCAAAACCAACATTAAGACTTCTGAAGTGATTGGATATCCAAAGGGTACTACAAAGTTTTCACTCGGTGGAGTCAGTGGCAAGATGATGATTGGCTTCCATGGATCCGCTGCGAAAGCTCTAAACTCCATTGGAGCATATTTAGCAACAGCTCCTCCTACTAAGTCAAAACTCGTAGGTGGTCTAACGGGAGGCGAACCTTGGGATGATGGTCCTAATTATGATGGCGTGAGAAAGGTATCCGTGACTTACATTAGCACTCTTATAAGGAGTATCAATGTCGATTACGAAAAGGACGGCCAAGTTGTAACATGTTACCATGGGATGAAGAATGGAGATACAGAGGAGGTACCAAACTCTTAAACATAACATTCTTAAGTAAACTCATTAGGCCTATCTATTATATAAGCCAAACAGTCTATATATTTATACCTTACAAGATTATATTAGATGTTAATTTTTATTTAGGGTTTTACTAACATTGTTGTTTTTCTATATTATTGCAGTTTGTGATAGACTATCCAAATGAATATTTGATATCAGTGGAGGGTACCTACAACATACTCCCCGATGATAACGTTTTGGTCATTAGGTCGTTGGTTTTCAAAACATCAAAAGGGAAGGTCTCTCCCACGTATGGGTTTGTGTCAGGTACCAAATTTGTGTTTGAGAGCCAAGGTAATGCTATTGTTGGATTCCATGGACGGGATGGTGGTGCTTTTGACGCTATGGGAGTTTATTTCTCTCCGATTCCTTCCTCGTAATTCGACAATTTTATAAAGGTTATATATAAACCCATGTAGGATTCCGTCGATGGGAATATAGTTACGAACTCCACTCGTGTTTCAGTATCATGCATGTTGCTATTTATGGTTGTTGTATCTTGAATAATGCTTTACTATAGCTACGTACGTACTCCCATGTTTCTTAAATTAGTAATTTATTCCGAGTTTACTATCGTTTGTAATAAAACAAGGTTTAATTATTAAACATCTCTATTTCAATATTTACAAATAAAACAAAATTCAGTCATAGTCATGAATCAAAATGCAAACAAAACTTTCTCCTTTTTAAGCTCCAATGAAACCGTAGCACCTTTTCCGCAACGTGTTTGACGTGATCTTTCTCTTTGATAGTGTAGTATATATGAACCAACGTGGTCAAATCACATGATCCCGTCTAACTTTTTTCCCTTCCTAAGTAATTGTAAATTTGTAAGACCATCTCCCATGGTTAGCACTATTGGAGGATGCTTACTTATTTTTTTGCATTAATTTTTTTTAAATAAATTCACAAGTGGTTTTTAACCTCTGTTTAAAGAGTTAATTTAGACAACAAAACTTATGAAAAGTGCTTGATTTTGCATTAAATATAATGCAATAAATATAGGTAATGTCTTAAGCTTACCATTAAGCAATGCCAATGAAGTTGCTCTAAGCTCGTTAGAATACTCCTCTTTTGTCCACTATATAAGAAAATTTTATGTTCCGGAGATGGTAACTTGTACTAGATTCAGCTTTTAAAACATTTTTAGATTCGCTTTGGTCCTCCGGAGATACATGAATAATATAAATGCATGCATGGAGGTGAGATCGTTACGGAGAAAGCTATTCATATCTTCTTCTACTAAATTGACTCTCCCTCAATGCATGATGCTTAGTGTTGGTGCTTTGTTACTTTCTGAACGTATATTGTTGTTAGATTTAAGGAAGAGTAAGTTGATATCCCTTCGGTTGGCCAATGGTTATAGCCAGCGACTCAGTGTTTCTGCATATGTTTGTTTATCAAGCTGACTCGCAATGAATATAAAACTTATAAATATACGTTAGGAAAGTATCACACACACTTCTGGTATATTTTCATATCGTCAATTTATATATTGTCAGTTTACTAAAATAGCATAACCTGCTAAAAAAAAAATATAAAAGATGCTATATTGCTATGTTTGTTGTAAACTTGAAACCGATCCATGCTTCCGGTGTATTGCATGTGGAAATCTGATATCGCCCGATCCATCCAAACATATATTCAACAAAAACGATGATTAATGTATAGTGTTATCATACACTCGTTAATTAGTACATGTCATTATACAAAGTAATAGACTAATAGCTGATATAGTTACTAATACACTAAAATAGGTAGCATGTGACAATACCGTGACCAATACTTGATATCGCTAACTATCATTTGCCTATTATTTAATAAACAAACAAGAAGTCAATATTAATCTTGTGCTGAGAAACTTCATTTTTACAATCAAGTATTCAACACATGAAGAAAGCGAGAAAAGTGAGTAACTAAATTATATATAAATTTCTCAAAAGTCAAAATTCATGGTTCATTACATCAACTAGATCTGAGAGAGTGATTAACTAAATACAAGTAGGTATTATATATCTCTTTCGTAAAGAAAAATAGATTCAGATATACGTTTTGGGGTGTAGGCATATCTCGTGTAGGCATCTCAGGCCATATCACATTCTAAACCCCAATATCACTAGCAAACACATGCATAATGTATGTGTTTCAAGAATCAATATTAGATAAATTTCAACCGTTCTTCCCGAAATTTATGAGCATAGGCAAGACAAAACACTAGTATTGATGTAGACACCCTTGCAATATCTCATGCGGTGTATTGGGCAGGCAACAAACCCATCGGAGTTCGCTCAATGAGAGAAACTCATTTAATCACACATTCTTCACCCCAAAGTTCAACACTCAGTTTTGCTTGAAACATCATATCAATACAAATGCCACATTCAGAATATGATTGGTTTATGTTCGATTCTCTATTGAAGATTTTTTTCATACACAAAATGTGTTTGATAATGTATTACATGTTCCGCAGAGGTGTCAAATGAGTTGTTCTGTCTAAACTTTATTTTTCATGAACTTGAACTATGTATTCTAGGCTTGAAAGTAAATGAATTGTTTAATAAAATTTAGAAACATAAGAAATATTTTTTTAAAATAAGAAAAAAAGCAATACTAATATAAGTATAGAAATGATCCATTTTGATTTTTATTTCTAAATATCTTTACAAACATTTTTTGCTCCACCTTCCCCACGGGAGTTCGAATCCACGAAATTGTGTTATCATGTGAGTAGAGATTGGCTATTGATTCGGACCTTGTTAATCTAAAAGATGTAAGGAAAAAAAAGACATTAAACTATAGATGATCCATTATTAAATTGAGTTAACACTCTTTATATAAACAGAAATTATGTTTCTTTAGCTATCATATTTATTTAATATTATTTAATATTTATTTAATATTGTCGGAGTTATGTGGTAGTCTCTTAGACCATCTCCACTCAACAATTCACTAGCATCGTTGCTATTTTTGCAGGAGAGAGAGAGAGAAAACATAAAAACAAAGACAAAAGAAAAAGAAAATATTTTTGACATATAAACATATCCAATAAAAAAGAACCACGTCATCTAAGTACCGCTTCTCAGATTGCTTCAATAAGTAACGTTCCTTCAGTTTTTATGTAGTTTTGATTTAATTTGAATTTTTTTTTCTAAGTACCTCACAAAGTACCTCCCACTGGAGATGCCCTTAGGTTATCAAATCAGTCTAGATTTCTTGGATATAATAAGGCACATATGCTCAACGTTCATGTGTGGAGAGAAGCTTCCCATCCTCCCGGCTTATCCGAAAAGTTGACAAAAGTGTTTCGAATCTTTTCACCTCCCTTCACTTCCACGAATCAACAAAAAAAACTTAAAGGGCTTCCTTGCGGGTTGGTTTAGCTTAAGCGAATAAGCTAAAGATTTGATTTACTTTCTTCCTTATTTTCAATCATTCAATTCTAGTTTCTTTCATTAGATTGAAATAGAAAAAAAAAAAAAAATTGGTTGACAGTATTCATCTTGCTTTATATAAAAACATGTTGTGGTTGCATGTACACATTGCAAACTTACTTTGATATCCAAAACATTATATATTGATATATTGTGTTTTTATCGGTTTTAAGTCTTTTTTTTCTTTTTCATTTTATAACTTTTATTGAGTCAAAGTGTGTTTTTAGAGTCTTTTAGTCCATTATAGAGTTTTTACAGGTTTTAGGTTGCTTTAGAATAAAACGAGCTGTTTTGGGAAGCAAACACACATTTGGAGATGCAGATTCATGTAGAAGTGTCAGATGTTTGGGATCAGATGAACAACTTTCCACCGTTAGATCTTTTTCATATTTTGACCCAAGATGAATACAGATGTTAGATTTCATTTGCAACTGACTTCAAAGAAATCTAACGGTTCATTTAAGAGTTACACCCGATTTCGTGAAGACAGGTCATTCTGACGAGTAACTGAAGTAGATGCAGATTGAAACCTGAGAGTCCCAGACCGATCGGTCTACACCCGGGACCGATCGATCTCTTACCTCTGACGTATTTTTGAGCCCATATTCGATCCGAAACATACCCAACTCGTCTCCTATTGTTTTTAAACCCTAGGCTCGACTTTTGAGCAGCTATCCTTCATATTTTTCAGTTCTAAACATTGTTCTTTGCTTTCAAAACAATTTTGGGAGAAGAATCCATCCTCTTTGACAATTTGGAGAAGATTTCTAAACCCTTTCTTATTTATGCAATTTCATTATGTTTTCTTCATCTATGATTTTTGTTTTCTCTTTTGCAATGTGTGAGTAGTTCTTAATTGGGTTTTAGGGTTTTAAGTAGGAGTTTCAATGATTTGATGGATTAGATATCTTAGGGAATTCTTAGTCTTTAGATTCTTCAATTTACATGTTCTCAATGCTATAATAGGACTGATCACCCGGTTTTAGAACTTAGGCTTTTATGTGTTTCAGAGATGTTCGATAAAATGCCTGAATGAATGTAAATTGAGCATAGTATTTCTACCCTGCGAGAGTTGATGTTAGAATGCTTTGTGAACCAAATGAACCTGTTTGATAATGCGAATTTGGCTTGGAAATTACAAATGAGAGTTTAGTAATTGAATAGTTGAATTTAGTGATTACTGTCTTGAGGGAGAATTGGTCTAAATTTCTGTTCATGTTCAAGAACGGTTCTTCATGTTTGAATTCCTTATTGCTTTTATTTGTTATTCATTGATTCTCTGAAATTACCCTACAGTCCAATGTCTTTAATTCATAAGTTTAAATCTCTCTTTTATTTGCATTTTTATTTACAAAACTGAAAACCAAGCAAAAACCCTTTCCGCTTTAGCTGATAACGAGTTTCGAAAGTCTTTAGTGTACCATTGCTCCTTGTGATCGATCCCGCATATACTTTACTTCGGTTAAGTTCGGGTTAAATACTCGAGTAATCATATATAATCCACGTTCTTTAAGATTTAAAGTTTAGGAGTCGTCTAATGGTTTAGTCAACTTTCTTTTAAAATAGTATATTTAATAAATACTAAAAATGGTGAAAATTTGAGAACTAAGAAACATTAAGCTATATTGACTTAGAGGCCACTAGTTAAATATACTATAGGAATATGCATTTTTGAAAGAGCCAAAACTTGTATAAATAAGCATTTCGATTATCAGCTTCTTCATCAATCACCATAACACACATCGATCATGTTTATCATCTACATATTTCTCTTTCTCTCTTCAGCCTTTCTAGGTAACTAAGCTCCTTATGCATAGTTTCAGTTCACAGCATTCATGTTGTGGATATTAAAGAGGACATACAATGCATCATGCATATACTCACGCTACTTGGTTTTCCATATATTTATCTTAATTATGTTATAAAGTGTATATATAGCTCCAAATGTTAGTAAGATTATAGCATTCTACCATTTTTTAATTCGTTTGAAGCTTTCCTAGAAAATTAAGTTCTCAATAAAAATTAGTGACAAATCGAAATTTATATAACACAATGGTACCATTCAATTTTATGTATGAAGATTCAAATGGGTTTGCAATGGCCCAAAAATTGGATGCACTTGGTGGGAAAGGGGGCAAGGTATGGGATGATGGAGCAGACCATGACAATGTAGCAAAAGTTTATATACGAG